TCATGCCCTCACCCCCCTGTTGTCTGTGTCCATTGGTTAGGCCTATATGCTTGCATATAAGTCCTTTGGTTGATCTCTTCCCCTTACCCCCACCTTCCCCTACCTTTCCTCCGAGGCCCGACCGTCTGATAAATGCTTCTCCATCTCTGGAGCTGTCCTTGTTCATCAGTTTATGTTGTTCATTATAATCCACAAATGAGTGAGATCATGTGGTATTTATCCTTCTCTGACTGGCTTATTTCACTTAGCATAATTTGGAAACAGCCTAAGTGCCCATCAACAGATTAATGGATTAGAAAACTGTGGTACATCTACACAATGGAATACTACGCTGCTGTAAAAAAGAAGGAATTCTTACCATTTGCCACAGCATGGATGGAACTCTTACCATATTTTTAATTATTTAACTCTTACCATATTTTAATGAACTCTTACTATATTTTAATTATCTCTTACCATATTTTAAGCATTTACTAGATTGTGACACTGGTCAGTTAACTAACTTCTTTAAAAAAAAATCATGCCTGGCACATTAGATTCTTAATTAACATTTGTCAGGTGATTGAATTATAAGTGAGCTGACTATGCTCCTCACCTCCACCCACAGAGATGCTCCCTGTGACAGTTTTGCAAGAGCTCTATTTTTTTTATTGTCTAAAGATTTACATATTAGAGTTCTATTTTTATTTATTTATATATATTTTATTGATTTTTTGCAGAGAGGAAGGGAGAGAGATAGAGAGTTAGAAACATCGATGAGAGAGAAACATCCACCAGCTGCCTCCTGCACATCTCTTACTGGGCATGCTCCCGCAACCCAGATACATGCCCTTGACCAGAATCGAACCTGGGACCTTTCAGTCCGCAGGCCGACGCTCTATCTACTGAGCCAAACAGGTTTTGGCAAGAGTTCTATTTTTAAATTATCTAATATTTATATTGAATTCACTTTTTAAAAGGTTTTGAAGCAGCTTTCAGTGTTACTTATCACACAAAATAAAAATTAGGGAATTGGGAGAGACTGTTTAAGATAAAACGAAATATCAACATATGCCAAAAAGGTTCACAGTTTTTAGAGGTTGTTGCAAAATGAGTTCTGAGCCTCATAGCAGCCATCACAAGGAAAGTTAATTACTCAATTCACATTGCCCATATGATTCAAAACACACAATCACTCAACTATCTCAGTGACCAAAAATATAATTATTTTCCTTTGAGTTATTACATAAAAATTGTATTTTGATGTAATATATGCCTTCATGAATATTATACAGTAAATGAAAGCCAAATTTCATGGTATATTTTGTATTATAACCCTTGATGTAGTAGCCTCAAGGCTAGGTGGATGAATTCTAATAAGGACCAAAAGCAATTTTATCCAGGTTTGAAGCTCTGGTAATTTAGTTTCACTAAATGAAAAAAAATCACTTATTCAAAAGAAATGATTGCACAATAATTAGTGTTCCAAAAATATTGTAATTTAGTTTGGATAAGCGTTAGGCAGTAGAGACTTCGTGACTGTAATCTCTAGCAGGAACCCACAATAGCTCTAATATTATCCCTCTGCCTTTAAGAAGGATGCCTTTGACATCGTTTCAGGAAAGTACTAGAACGGTTCAAGTCACGTGACTGAGCAGGGAGCCATTTTATATACCTCAAGTAGGTAGACCATGGAGTACCCTGAGGGGCAGTTCTCCCAACTGTCGGAACGTAATTCAAAACTAAAAACGTTAATATCAGAAACTAAAAGTTTCCAAGAGCCCAAAATTGTTGTCGACTCTGGAACTAAAACTGCCAGTGACTACAGAACCCAAATTGCGGGTGAGCAAGGCACCTCAACTCTTGTCGACCATGGCGCCCAAGGTGATGCCCAGGCTGCTGCCAGACCTCCTCTGGAAAACTTAACGGGAAGGCAAGGTAAGTGATTTATGTTCCACCCCCGCCAGAAAAATATTAAGGATATTTTGGGGAGTTTATTTGAACTGTGCGACCCCCTTGAGGAGATCATATGGTAAATCTGTTGAACTTTTTGAGGAGAAATTGGGGTAACTTGTGTTCCTGTCCAAAGATGTAAAATAATGACTCTGTGGAGGAGACGGGGTGGCTAATATGTTACATAGTTTGGGCGGGATTCTAATTATTTCATGGGTTTGCGTAGTGGCATATTTGTCATCCGGAGAGAAGCAACCGAATGTGCCACCCCTTTTACAAATATCGCTGTGCACCGGTAAAAGTCCTGTGGCCACTCTGAAGGTTGCCCTGTGCCAAGAGAATTTGTTCTGAAGCCTTGTTCCTCGAGGCCCCAGAGCGGCCTGAGCCTCTTGAGCCTTTCCCCCCAACCCCACCCTCAACCCCACAGTACGCGAAGATGTGGCTGCCGCCTCGAGGCCACTTGTCTGTCAGCTCCAGCAGGCGGCAGCGGAGGCGTGGCTAGTGGGGCGGGGCTGTGCGCTCTGCTGCTACCTGTGGCTGCACAGTCCACCCGCCGCCTGCCGTGGGATTCCATGGCTTGTTTCCCTGTAGCCCACTCACGCCCCCTTCGGAACCGCCAGGGCAGAGAAGGGTGTCTTCCCCGCTCGGCCTTCCGGGTGCCATTGCGAGTCAGAGGAGGAGCAGGTGAGTTGGTCAGGCGAAGGGTTCTGAGGCTGGTTAGTGCTGTGTGTCAGCGCACGGAGCCGTGCGCTGCTAGCCTAGACGGCGAGGCTCGAAGGCTGGAACCTCCAAGTCTATGAGCTGGGCTCTTCCTTTGGAAGCTTAGTGCCCCTGGAATAAGGATGGAGGGTCATTGCCTCCAAACTGCAGTCCGCGGCTATGAACTTGAGAAAATTCAAGTTTTGGCTGATGCTGACTTAGGCTGCGTGGAGCATGGTGTCTGGTGCCTTCCACCTAGCTATAATCCTAATTCCAAATCTAATTTCACTGAAGCTAGATGGAGCTTGGGGGTAATGAATGGTGGAGAGAAGTTCCATTAGTTTAACTATGTATCAAAGAATGCTTCCCAGAAAAAGTGGATGCCTTTTCTTAAATACGAAACAACCAGTTCATTTGGTTAAATGCAGGTAACAAATTTTAAAACATATTAAAAACTCATTTCAACCCTGTTTTCCCACCTTCACTGAAAGTTTCCCTTTTTACATCCTTTCTTTCACAAAATAAAGGCATTGAAATGAACAAAACGTCCTACTCTTAGTTCTGCTGAGAATTCTAAAAGTTACTACTGATCTGATAAAATCTTGCTTAGCAGCCAGTTCTTCAAATATCTGTATTTCTGCTCCCAATCTTAAGTGATTGTTACTTTTTATTCTGTTATGCAATGTTCTCTGCCCCAAGATTTTTAATTTAATTTGCTATATTTTAATTAGCACCCCCTGTGTATAACTGTATGAAGCAGGAAGAAAAAAATGATTATCACAAATAAGCAATGTCTCTCTTTTCCCGTCCTTTCCTCTCTCTCATCCTGGCTGCCTGCTTTTCCACTGCTGGCTTCTCTTGTGCTTTCTATGCATTTCTGATAGTTTCTGAAGTCATATTAAAGGATTGAAATTATAACTGGTGAATTATTTCACCATAATAAGGTCTCAGACTAACTTGTATGTGATTTTTTTAAAAAAGGTTCCAGTGCTTTTAAATGATATTCAAGTTCAAAACTCAGAGCCCAGATAATGGTTTACAGAGTATTAGGAGCTGTACATTAATCAAAGGTATACGATTTTATAACTTGGTATATAGTATAATGTTCTTAGAACCTAATAAAACTTTGTCAGGTTTCATATATGTACATTGTTTTCTTTCCACTTTTGAGAAAAGTTTCCTCAGAAGAAGTGAGAGCCCTAAAACCCAAAATGCAAACTACTTAAGATCTATCAAAAATAGATGGAAAATAAAATGAAAGAATAAGGATTAATTTAGGATTATTCACTTTACAGAAGGTGTATTTTTAAATATAAATGGATCTGTCTTAGGATTCCTTTAAATAACTTTTAGGGGTGTTTCAAATAACTCGTGGTTGTGAGGCTTATACGAAGTAATAGACCTAACACACTCAATGTAGTGCCTACACACAGAATGCACGCAGTAAAGGCTAGCAATGAATAAATCAAATTGGATTTTACAGTCTTTCATATTACCTTTCAGGAATGTCTATTCAATGAAGTTAGGTGTACTCATATAGATAGCTTAGCCATAAGAACTGGACTTTTTGAAAGGTAGATCTGAGCTATTTATGCTGGCTCTAGTCTAGAGTCATAAAAGCTACTGGCTCTCCTATGGGCTTGTTTAATTCCTACCAATCAATTATAGTGAATAAAATATTGAAAATTTAGCTCTTGTTTCTTTCTAATAATCATAGAAAATTTCTGCCAGTGGTTTGGGGGTTGATTTCCGACTTTGGTTGGCACCCTCCCTGCAAAGGAATGTAGTTCGCTTCACATACCCTTCACTTACCCCCTTCACTTACAATTGGTGAAATTGTGGTCCTTTATCTGAGAGTAAAAAAATATCATTAAAAATACCAAATCAGCCGTAGCCGGTTTGGCTCAGTGGATAGAGCGTCGGCCTGCGGACTAAAGGGTCCCAGGTTCGATTCCAGTCAGGGGCATGTACCTTGGTTGTGGGCACATCCCCAGTGGGGAGTGTGCAGGAGGCGGCTGATCAATGTTTCTCTCTCATCGATGTTTCTAACTCTCTATCCCTCTCCCTTCCTCTCTGTAAAAAAAATCAATAAAATATATTTTAAAAAATACCAAATCATGTTTTATAACAGATCTTATTTTATTTGTTATGCTATTTGGATTGATTTTTTAAAAAATCTTCAAGTATTGTAGGGAAGATAAAGAACTTTTAAAAATAATAACGTTATTTCAAATAAGGTATTTCAGAACTCTACACACACATCATTCCAGTGAGGATTCTGCGCCAGGCCTTGTATAATTTAACCAGTACTACCAGAAGTGATCAGCAGAGGGAACAAGAGGAGTTTTTGGTGACTTTCTGTTGGTTTTGTTTTTGTTTTCATGAACTCAAAAACCAGAGATGAGTAAACCCCAGCATGAACCTCCTTATGAAATTGAGAACCAGTTTATATTGCGTCTGCCTCCGGTAAGAAACCCTTGTATTTCAGAGCAAATATCTTCAGTGCGTAAGTATTAGCTCTGCTTGGATTCTATGCCATTTCTATTTAAGGTAGGCTATAAAAACTGAGAACATTTGTTTCCCAGGAATCATGTTCTATTAAGCAGTCCTATCCCAGTGTGTACTCTTTTAGCAGCATTTTTTTTTGTCCTGTACATACCACCTATCATGTGGGTTGATTTCCTGGCAAACAATTGTGACAATGATGGATTCAGTATCAACAGCCTGCTCATTGGACAGCCAAGATAAGACTCTACTGAAATCCTTTCTGTCACCTCAAAAGGGTTAGCGCAGGGGTGGGCAAACGTTTTGACTCGAGGGCCACAGTGGGTTCTTAAACTGGACCGGAGGACCGGAACAAAAGCATGGATGGAGTGTTTGTGTGAACTAATATAAATTCAAAGTAAACATCATTACATAAAAGGGTACGGTCTTTTTTTTTTTTTAGTTTTATTCATTTCAAACGGGCCGGATCCGGCCGGCGGGCCGTAGTTTGCCCACGGCTGGGTTAGTGAGAAGGACCATGTTCTTCAAATTGATCACCATGCAAGGCTGTTGAAGCTCCTGTCAACATTGTGTTAGTTTCCCCCGCACCCACCCATTGAGACCTCTATTCAAGTATTATTTAGTCTACAAAACTATATTAATATGGGCTTCAGAAAGTTATTTCTCCCATTAGGGTTAATTAATGTACTCAGTAAACTGCAGCTAAACCTTCCTTTAGCAACAATAACTGAAGGGTAGCAGTGAGAGGCAGGAATATAGAACTAGGAGAAGGCATTGACTGTAGGTACTAAAAGTCAACAATGATATTAGAGTTCACCTCATCCTAAATTGACCTGCACAATGCATGGTATCTCATGGTACATGGCATTGTTTCTAATGTTTGGGAGGCTTAAAGTTTTTTTAAAGAAGGACTGTCTCTGACATATCTGTTCTATTAACTGCCAAGTAGACAATCTTTCTAATTTGTCAATTTATCTCCTTTTTAGGAACATGCTGCTACTGTCAGAGAAATTATACAATCTGGAAGTGTTGCCATGAAAGATAAACTAAAAATTGACTTGTCTTGTAAGTAGTTAATATCCATTCACCATACATTGAACAGTAACTTATTAAGGGATTACTCTGTGTCACGTGCTCTATTCCATACTAAGGATTTGAAAAGAATAGAATGCGTTCTCTGTCTTGATGGATCCTAAGAGAGGCTTAAATCACTCCTATCTCTTCTTTTAAGAGGAAAAGAAGTAGATATTATGCAACTTGAGGTAATTATCAAATGTGTATAAGAAAGAACTTAGGGGTCAACTGTGGGATTTGCCTACTGCTGATTGTCTCCTACATACAAGCTTTGGGATTTCTAACTATGACAAATGAATGTACTGTTCTTTGTTTATAAAGGTGACACACCTTTCTCTCGTTTAAACAACATTTATTAGGTTTTATAAACACAGAGAAACAGAACCTATGCCCTGAAAATCTGTGTGCATGTGTGTATGTGCATTTAAACCAGGGGTCCTCAAACTACGGCCCGCGGGCCACATGCAAATACAAATACTGTATTTGTTCCCGTTTTGTTTTTTTACTTCAAAATAAGATATGTGCAGTGTGCATAGGAATTTGTTCATAGTGATTTTTTAAACTATAGTCCTGCCCTCCAACGGTCTGAGGGACAGTGAACTGGCCCCCTGTTTAAAAAGTTTGAGGACCCCTGATTTAAACTGTGATTGCAACTTTGACTTTAATTCTAGCTGGATCACCCATTGCAAATCAAAAGCTGCAGAGGGTTTGTTTTTTTTAATTATAGAATGTCCTTTGTTCAGCGAATTTTACATGACAATACATGTATTTATTTAATAAAACTTCTATGTTAAAAAGAAAATAAATACAGATAAGTATATAAAGAAGGAAATATAAAATGGCCCATAAACCCACAACTCTAGTAGCTCTATTGACATTTTTAGAAAGGGCAATACAAGTTTATGGCTAGGAGATTCAAATAAAAAAGTTCAAAAGGAGGAGCGAAACTCTCTTTCATAGTGCCCCAAAGTCAGTGCCAAAAATAACTAATACTAACCATTTCTCCTTGTATTTCCTTACAGACAGAACTTTTATGCAAATATAATCATTTAAATAATCTCTGTTTTTAAAGTTAATTTACACAAAAAAGATCATGTGAAATATAGTTCTGCATCTTTTTTTTCACTTACCACTAGAAGATTACACTTGAATCCTCAAAAGATATCCATATTTGAGACATCTGGGCAGGATTCAGAGTTGTCAGTATATAATGTATATCCTATATAATCCTATATAATAAAAGGCTAATATGCAAATAGACCGAATAGTGGAACTACTGGTCACTATGACATGCATTGACCACCAGGGAGCAGATGCTTAATTGCAGGAGTTGTCTCCTGGTGGTCAGTATGCTCTTACAGGGGGAGTGCCACTCGGCCAGAAGCTAGACTCATGGCTGGGGAGCACAGTTGTGGTGGCGGGAGCCTCTCCTGCCTCCGCGGCAGCACTAAGGAACCTTCGGGGGGATGTCCGCCTGCCAGCTTAGGAGGGAGAGGGCCTAAGCCAGCAGGCAAACATTCCCCTGAGGGGTCCTGGACTGAGAGAGGGCACAAGCTGGGCTGAGGCCTCCCCCCCTTCCATAGTGCACCAATGTCATACACTAGGCCTGGAGTATATTAATAATATACATACTTTTATTTCAAAAATGTTTTTAATCCTCACCTGAGGATATGTTTATTGATTGTAGAGAGAGGAAGGTGGGAGAGAGAGAGAGAAATATTGATGTAAGAGAGAAACATCGATTAGTTGCCTTCCATACTCGCCCAGACATGGAATCAAATCAGCAACATTTTGGTGTATGGGACAATGTTCCAATCAACTGGGCTACCTGGCCAGGGCTACATATTTTTTTCAGTGTTTGGTGATTGTATAAAATTTTATATTTGTGAAGCTAACTAGAGGTTATACATTGAGACTTACTAGCAAGATTCTAGGATCAACCCTTCCCTCACCCAACCCTTTGAAAACACCCATGCATAATGACATGATTGAATGCTTCTTATGGTATTAAAATGAATGGCTTTGAATGAACGGAATTTGTCTTTTAGGATGAGAATGAAACATTTACTACTTTGTTCACATTTGTTCACAACCATTACTAAGAAAATTCTCTACTTTTTTTTAAAATGTATTTTACTGATTTTTTACAGAGAGGAAGGGAGAGAGAAAGTTAGAAACATCGATGAGAGAGAGACATCGATCAGCTGCCTCCTGCACATCTCCTACTGAGGATGTGCCCACAACCCAGGCACATGCCCTTGACCGTAATCGAACCTGGGACCTTTCAGTCCGCAGGCCAACGCTCTATCCACTGAGCCAAACTGGTTTTGGCAAAATTCTATACTTTTGATCAAGTGACACAAACTGGGGGAAAATGTATTCCATTTACTCTGCCTTCTTTCCTTTGGGGAGTTACTGAGTGCATGTACAATCCTATATAATAAAAAGCTAATATGCAAATAGACTGAATGGGGGAGCAACTGAACAACCAAACAACAGGTTGTTATGACGTGCACTGACCACCAGGGGGCACACAAAGAACCAGGCAGGCAGGCATTGGCAGCAGGCGGCAGAGCACAGAACATGGCAAATGTTGGTCATGGTAGGATGGTAGAGCAGGTGAGCAAAGGTGCCAGATCAAGGTGGGGCACCGGTCAATATCATTGGGGTGAGCCTCTGGTGGTTACTGAAAATTCTTTCTCCCGCATGCCACAGTCTGCCGGGGTCCAGCCCCAGCGGGCCAGGGGTTGGGAGCAACTGAACAACCAAACAACAGGTTGTTATGACGTGCACTGACCACCAGGGGGCACACAAAGAACCAGGCAGGCAGGCATTGGCAGCAGGCGGCAGAGCACAGAACATGGTGGGCATTAGCTGTGGCGTGATGGCAGAGCAGGTGAGTGGGGGTGCCAAACCAAGGCGGAGGGCTGGTCACTGTCATCAGGGT